GATCAGTTGGCCTTATCCGCGATTTCAAAAGATAATGTCCATGTTTAGAAGCGATTACATACATTCCTTGGTTCATTTCATGCCCTTATTATTGAGACAGGCAGTAATGAGTCTATTGTTTCACTCAGGAGTCTGAAATCTTCGAATTTTAATGTTGTAGTACGACCCAACAAAGTATCGTCATCGAGGATTACTGAACACAAACTGCATGTACGAGAATGTTCTGAATTGCTAATTAGAGATGACGATTCTTCATACATGCCCTATGAGTGTTTAGTTAGTGATGCAGGACAGTCAATACTGTGTTTTCAAAATTTGGAAGGCTTAAACTGGAGTTGTCTTCATTAGTTTGTAAAGAAGATTCTGATGTTTTGCTTAAAGATTTGATAGCTGTGTGCTGTACATGCAGTGGAGGTTTGAGAATTCGAATGATAAAACCTCAAGTACGAGGCGATCCAGTCTTTCTTAAAAGATGAATGATGTCTTATAGTTTTTGAGAAGCAGTACGTAAGACATTGAGCGATTTGCGTGCAAATGCATACTTGAACCGATCTAGTCTTTTGCATGTGGTAATTCTATCGTTATGCCCTTGAATTTTGATGTGAAGACACCGAGAACATGTGGTAATAATAGATTAACACTGAACTCCCGTTTGTTGAAGCTACGGTGGAAGCCGAAGATATTCTTAATCGACTACATGGTTGTAAGTTATTCTCGAAAGTTGACTTGAAAATGATCATCTTCAAATCCCTTCATATCAACTTCATCTATATTTTGATGATAATTAACACCCCATTTGTCCTGTTCAAATGCATTTTTCTTCTATTTGGTCTAAGTAATCTTCCAGCCATATTTCAGGAAGTGATGAAGGTATTGAAGTTTACGAAGATTATGTTATCATTTATGGTTCTGACAAAGTGGTTCATGACCAGAGACTCATTGCTTTACTGCGTTGTATAATTAAGAAGAATATTGTGGTGAATCCAAATAAGTGTTTATTTTGTGTATCTAGTTTTGGATATGTTGGATACTTAGTTAACGGCGAAGGTTTTAAAGCAGATATGTGGTGGCTAACTCCACTGACAAATGTACCATCTCCAAAAAATCTCACGGGACCGCGTTCATTAATGAGTTCTCTCCAATAGCATTCCCGTTAGCCGTGATTTTGGCCGTCAAAAGACTTCTCAAATATTTATTCGAAAGAAATTCACTGTTCTTTCTGATCGTGAAACTTTAAAGTTCATTAATCATCCTGAAAAATCCTTAGCACGTTCCTCAGCTGTTATGGTACGATGATATAGTATTGCTCTGAGTGCCCATGACTATATGATTCAGCGCAGGAGTGTCCAACAAGTTCAAAATGTTGACTAAATATTTCTACAGTCATTACAAGATAGGCCTGTTAACACTTCAAACTGTTTGTTAGTGTAACCATTACTGGTGAGACTGTAATGCGTGCTACGTATATTAACATAAGTAGTATATAACGAAAGTCAGGGATGTAATGTCTGGCAACAGAAGATTGGGAAGATCAAGAAAGAAAGAACGGGAAGAGAAAGCAATTAGTACAGAAATGCGAGAACAATGAAGTCCAAGACAATTATTCAACATTTTGCAAATTAGGTATTATAGTATGATTTTTCTATTTTACCAAGTAACTCCTTCACTGCATTTGGTGTCGCTGCCAATCAGGAGAAGGGAAGGGTGCTGTTCTGCGGACGCTGTTGAGGGTCTGGGGCTGAAGTGTCAGTGGAGCAGTCTGGTGCGGAGAGGTTGTGTCAGGTGGAGTTTTCTGGCGGGGTGGTGTTGACTGTAAAGGGTACTGTCGACGGAGAGGGACGGTAAGACGTGCGGCTGCTGGGCGGACATCAGATATAGATGGCTCGGCAGGCCGGTGGAGCACGAGTGTTAGACGACCCAGGTGCCTGGTGGATGTCGGACGTTGGTGCCCCGGCAAGTCGACGGAGCCATGGACCACTGCAAAAACGACTGCTTTTAAAGGGGGGACGAGGCGGTTTGTCCTACTTATACTGACATAAGTAGTTTATGATGTCACTCGTAAACAGAAGGTCTGTCATCAGAGAGGCAAGAGGATCGAACAGTACGGATTGGAAACAGGATGCAGTTTGCATGAAAATGCGAGAACAATGAAGTCTGAGTCATTATGAGACAATTGATGGACATTTTGCAAATTACGTATTTACTGTTTGATTGTTAGATTTTATTAGCAAGTCCAGTAATTGTGAGTCAAACACATTCGATTGTCCCCACTGGTGTTCTTGCTCACTACATTTGGTGTCGCTGCCAGATCTGCTTTGAGAACCTCGTTAATACTTTGAATGTATACCCAGTGTTATACAGAAATGTCGGAATGATGAACTAAGCAACAGATTTTCTGTCTACTTTTCAAAGCATGATGAGTTATCTACTACTCGTGATGATATTTTGTGTTCAAATGATCGTGTTGTTATTCGGTCTTCATTGCGTAAATCTCTCCTTGTAGATCTGTGGAATTATAGTCTACTATCAGTACTGCTCTAATAATAGAGCTAATCCTAAGACTGTAAATTTGTCATGATATACCTGCCTAATCTATAAGATCTTACGTGGAATCACACCATCGTCAACGCCAACCGACTGTATCGTAGCAATTACCAATACATGATGGGGGACAAGCTTAGGCTAAAGAAAGAACAATATATTTAATATGAATAAAATATATAAGGTAACATTCCGCAGGGAACACGCCTGCATGGCCGAGCCACACCACCTGACCAACTCGAATTAATTAAACTGATTGTTCCCACATTTTCCATCGTTAAGTATTTCTCCGCGTTAAATATTGAATATCTATTTTCCGAGTAGTCTCGTGTTCACCTTTGAGGATTGTGTGGTTATGGTCCAACGCCACTACAGATCTTCATAGTGGACATTAAGTTGTTGAGAAAATGAAATCCTTGGTAAGGCTCACCTTTTGGTGAATGCAGATATATGTGGAAGATGTCATAAATTTGAAATTCAGCTCTTGAAGTGGACTTCATGGCAGTATCATCTGAGGCCTTTAAGAAAATTCATGCAGAATATTGTTGTTCATTTCTTGTCAAATACTATGCTCTTATAGTCATTTTTCGAAGTGGCCTGAAGTTTTTTTCACAACTTTACTTAGTTCTGACTTTACAATCGAAGTATTAAGAAAGGTGTTTAGTCCAGAAAGGATCCCCAATGTTGTTGGTGACTAATAATGGTTCTCATTTTGCTGTAGATGCAGTCATTATGTGGTTGCATGGGGTGCAGAAATCTGTTCACTGCCCCGAGACACCTTTGTTCTAATGGTCAGGCAGATAACTTTTTAGGACATTGGGAACTGCTATTTATTCTATTGTTGCTTCAACGTTTAATGAACTGAAGAGAGGAGTATATACATTTCTACTGCAATATGGAAATACTAAACATTCTGTAACGGAAGAGACTCCATCAAAGCTATTAAAAGGAAGGATTCTTCTTTCGGATATGAGGTGTTTAGAGTCTGCTGAATTTGCATATTATCGTGTGAATGATCTTCGACCAGCTACGGGGATCGCGGTGAAGAAAGTCAGGAAATCTTTGGTCCGAAATTTAGATATCTATGATTTAAATATGTACAACCGACAATTTGATCAAATATAATTCCAGGAACCAGGTGAGTCTGCTCCTATTTCGGTTGTTGGTTCTAATACTAACGAGTATTTTCCAGACCATACAGAATCTACATCCAGTATACACTCTGACAGACATACAGTGAACGTAAGACATATAATCGAATGCAGAAATTTAGATTCCAACTTGAAATGCGGCATTTGCATGAACTAATGATTGTTTTGCACTTGATTCTTGATTGATTCCGAATTCTAAATACAATGCGTTCATCTGTACTCTCCTAGTTCCGTTTCAATTGGATTTCACTATTTCGAGAAATTCCAGTTAATACAATAATTCGAATACTTCTAATTGTTAAAAGACATTAATGCCAAGCAAAAACAATGTTCTATTCGAAAGAGATGAGTCAATTCAACCAGTCCAAAGGTGAATATCAAAACAGCCAATCAGGATAGCAATTACTGACTGAAGAGGCCAGATAAGATGAGTTGATTTCATCTCGGAGATACTGCAAAAGCAAAGGGGCAAAGTTGTAAGTAAATATACATGATGACCTTCAAGATGCCACAGAAATTCAGCGTCTGACAACGCTTTTGTATGTAACACCCTTCGAATTGAGGGATACCAACTCCATCAAATTGAAATTCTTGGATGAATGAACTTGAATACATATTTGGAAGGTTGTTGATATGTTGATATTAGTTTGATATAAGCTGGATTGTAGTTGAAAGGGATGAGTAGCTTGGCGTACTCACTCGCGACCTGGCATGTATGCGCAACCAGGCGGTTCCAGCTATATTGTGTCCAGTAAAACTAATGAGGTCAGCGTCAATGTCGAAGACACAGAACTATTTGTTTTGGTGATTTATTTACCGCTACAACCTCTTTTCGAGTCAGAAAGCAGGCAGTGTATAAAAATAATGGATGGGTGAAGTGATATTGTTTTTAGGGCAAAAAAGTGATTGAAAAACAGGACACACATAGTAGGGACCTTCTCACCTGCACACATAAACACACATGAGTACAGACACTGGAGATCTGATAGTTTGTAGTAAATTTTGTATTTTCTATATTCCTAGAGACTTAAGGAGCTGAGAATTCTGGAGCTGTCTCTTTGTTGGTCAACATATTATAGATTTGTGCACATCTGGGACTAATTTTGCTGAAACTTATTTCAGGTTTTCAGGTAGTGGTATTTATTCTGTGCATTTTATCTGGTCTGAAAATCCCGGGACAAATTTTCTTGCATTTATTCATGTGAAAAAACGGCGAGTGTTATGATATAAAAATAATTGATATCATAAAACTATTCGAAATACATGCTATGATCTGTTATGTTTGTTTGTATTTGCTACTTCATATGTAAAGGGCGCTAGGTTCGACAAAGTCTCCGCAGTTGGTTCGTCTATGGGAGAGTTTTGCTCTAAGCCGGAGAGTGGAAATTCTCAATCACATCCCGGTGTTCCTGCTGTTGGTACTCAACATGCTAGGTCAAGGGAAAGCAATGTCCCGAGTGCTTCTACAGCAACAGCTGGCTTTCTATCTAATATGTGTGACACAATATCCCGCTTACAATCCGAAAATCATTTACCTTCGAACGCCCCACCACCAGGTTCACGGATTGCCCCCAGCCCTGAACAGGGTTATGCTAGTAGTATTAATCGGAATGGAAGGTCTGATAGTTTTCCAAGTGGAGGTCCGGTGCTCACAAGTAAGTTCTTTGTTTATCTTAATTTGCCTGACGAAAAAATATGTAAATCTTCTCTCAATGCCAAATATTTAAGTTCCAGTCAGTAGAAATGTCGAATACGGTTGTTGGGTGTTAGTGCTTGTCATGTATGTGTGATATTAGGGGAGTGTATTCCATAGATTTGGCAGAGTAACTGGAGAAATGTAAAACGACTCAACAAACGGTATGCAGACTAGTAAGATTGTGCCATACAGCTTGTGTTTTGTCGTTGCACGACCTTGATTCACATTTTCAGTGGCAGTACAGATTTATGCAGTTTGTTTGGACCACTTATCTTAGGACGACTTATCAAGTGGTTTGGTTAGTTCTGAGTTTTGCTTAATAAGTTTCAACACTAGCTGGATGGTAGCTTGCTTTTCATTTGGCTCTAAAACTTGCCTCGACTCGGAGTACCTGAAGATGCTTAGTTTTGATAAAACTGACGTCACAACGAAATTTCCATCATATAATCCTAGGTTCCATTCTAACCCCTCTAGGTGTCTTATTACATGTTGAGAAAACCGTTTGTGTATAGATGGTGATTTAGTCATTTACACTTGTTATCCCAATGTATTGTTCTTGGATTCATCAGTCTAGTGATCCACAGAGTTCAAGCGGTGTGGGACTTTTGGGGATTCTTTCTTACATTAGTCAGGAATGATGTACATCTGGCGAAAATGCAGTATGTAGTAATGAGATGCTAAAATACGTAATATTGTGACTGTTTACGCATTGTTGCTGGTCCTTAACGGTAACGTTTATTTCAGGATAGTTGGATGGCAGCATTTCCATTCCATCAGTTTTAAGCTGTATTACCTGGTCTTACCACTTGTGGGGAAAATGAATTAGCATAAAACAGAATTACTGTTTCAAAGGAATAGAAGAAGAGACAAAGCTCATTATTAAAAAACATAGTTTGTATATAAACAACAAGTAGATTTCGCTTACTGCGTGAACTTGTCCCCCTGTTTAGGAGTGATTAAATGCTTCAACACGATAACTTTCAGCTTGTGTCAAATTACATTGGGTACCAGCGTTTATGCAGCCACCTGTGCGGATGAGCTCGATTATGTTTAGAAGGCCAACTACCGAGAGTAAATTCAAATGCATGTTCCTGTCAGCCCTGTTGAAGTTATTTAACCTGGTGTTTAAAAAGGATTGATTTCAGTAGCGTGTAAGCCAAGCATAACAAGACATCTTTGGGTAAATGATTTACACTGCTATGCACTTCTGGGTCACTCGCATGATGTGATGGGTGAGCCTTCAGAGGTATGAGTGATTAACTATGCACAGCCTCACTGCTAGTTTCGTAAATAACGACTAAATGCGTTCAGATATTTCCTGTACAAAGTGCGTATATATCAAGTATTTTCGATATGTTAATCAACTCGCTTTCCTCTTAAACATTTTGGAAAACAATCCTGACCAACTATATCAAAACTGACCTGACGTTAAGTAGCGACATTGTGAAATTTAGTGGTGCGCCTATACTCTCTTTAAACAAAATCACCTGTAGACATTTCGCAAAATCTGTGCAATATGACGAAGTCGATGTTTGGGATGTCGGAATATATGCATGCGATAATCACATGCATTATGTATGCTTTTTGAAGATTATCATTAGTACAAGATGGCACCAAATATATATACACCCTCCTTTGTCTTTCAATTTGTGACGGCTGGAATACTGCTCGGGCGTCCAAACCGAAACAAGTGGTTTTCTCAGGTCACTCTTCGAGCTTTCAATCTAGAAATCTAACCCACAAAATAGTGGAGCAACGTTCAAAGACGCAGTCCCTCGGTAGCCAATGACCAACAATAGGCCCATACATCATTTGTCCCCTTAGAATTCTGGAGCCCATGCGCACCATTGGTTTGGAATGGAGGTTTTCCAATCCCCTAGATGGATCCTCCATATATATCAACGCGGTTAGAACACCGGACATTCGCTTTTCGTCCTCTCGGCTTCGTAAACAACACCCTCAGGTTCGGTCTGGGCACCCGAACAGTATGACAGACCTCACACAAACCAATAATAGCTGCTACTGGCCTGACTGTTATTGTGTGGTGCATATACATTTGGTGCCCCCTTGTAACAACGTTTATGCGTTCAAATAAAGTAAATAGCCCCCTCCGCGAGAAGGCAGTGAGTAGGACTTGCCTGGAGATGGCTGTATACGCGTGGTAATGTAGGAGGATTTCGGAAAAAAGAGCGGACTCTCCTCAATCTTGGCTGTACCAGGGCATCTTGAGGTTTTTTAAAGATAGGTTTGTAAAACCAGTTTATTTCAGACTGGTGTATGTCACTTTAGACAACCCGACTAGTGTCCTGGGAGGTGTGCCATAAACCTCCAAAGGAAACTGAATTGTTCTTTGCGTATCATCAATTTCATAGATTGTTTCACCTATACCTGGCTTTGGTTCGGTTGAAGTGGGAAAGCTACTGATATTTACTAGGCGAGGATGTTACGCCTATATCGACGCCGTGTTCTAACCACTGGCTTTTAAATTTCTTAAGTTCTCACTGAAAGTTTCTATAAAACGGCCTTATGTATTGTTATACTGTTAGTTTGCCAGGATACACTATCACATGTTAGGTGTAAAGAAAGTTCAGAAATCTAGTAGCTACAAATTGCTGGTTTTGCTGAATGTTTCATCTTACCCAGGTCACCAACTGCTTGTCAAAAATTTCGCCTATTGTGTTGCTCATCATCGATTCCTTACTTAAATCTTATTCAAAAATTTCAATTTGTCCTCAAGGGCTTCTGGATATGTGCTGAATGTAAATGAGGTGTTTTAACGTTTAGTTCTATGTCTGTAATTCACTTAACTAGTACAAGTACAGTACCATCCATTTTCTGACATCCCAATGTACAGTAATAGCTGAAATAAATGGAAAGTTTGTGTAGTCAGAGGTGAACGTTTTCGATGCGATCTTCACCATGATGGAAATCGGTTGTTAGAAACCCTATGACATTAAAGCATTTCGAAATAACACATTTAATCACTCTTGACCTTTAAATCCTTGACATGCTGTCCCCTATCCATTTCTTTCTCGCTTATTTCGCTACAGTTTTACCTTTAATCTCTTACAATTGAAGAGTGTAGTAAATTTAACTATTAGGCTTGTAAAATTTTTTCGATCTATATGTGTCTTTAGTGATTGTTTGATTTCTTGATATAAGTATCCGAGGTTATCAATTGAATCTTGTTTATATCTTTTAACTTTGTATTACATCAGCTGGGCCTCATGCAGGGTTGTTAACTCCGGAAGATATGCTTGCTGCAGCACAGATTTGTAGCCATCTAAGTCAGTCACAACTCAACGCTCTGGCGGCTGCTTACCATCAACAACAGCAACAAATTCAACGTTCCGTTGGTCCAACTGCTTCAGGAACTTCAACACTTGGTCACATCCCAGGAATTACATTTGCACAGGCTCTAGCGGCCGTTACATCTGTATCGAAGTCATCATCTCCTACTATTCCTCTCAGTGTTCATAGCTCTCAACAGTCACCTCGATTGCCGGTTCATTCAGTTCAAACACCTATGCATCAAGGGAACCAAAAACGCCCCCCTAGTGGTCAGTCACAGTTTCACTCAGGACATCCTATTCAAATGGGTTCAACTACATCTGGTAGTAAGTGTTGCCAATAATAGCTATTATGTTTTTCATCTCTTATGAAAAGATGCTACTCTTTTTTTCTAGAGCTGTTCTTAACTTGCGCATATGTATTATAACTAAGTACCTTACTGACTTCAGTGTGGTTCATGTGGATCTTGTTACTGGCGTCTTTATCCCAACAATGTTATAAGCTTCATGAACCGTGCAAGCTACGTTTTAGGAGCTGGTTTCTATCGAAAAAAACCTATCATGGCTATTGTAATTTCATCATTACATCACTTTCGATGCCATTGACAACGTTACAAGTTGCTCATATAGTCTGATAAATTTGTGTATATACTACCGAGCAAGGTAATTAGGATTCATTTTCAGTATACTAAGCACTCAGTCATACCAATACACACTTGTTTACACAGAGATGTCTAAATCATTCAGAACATATATTCTACCTCACTAAGGTTACATGTAAGTTTAAGAGTTGAAAAAACACCAAATTTAGACAAAAAGATCATTGTTCGTGAGTGGAGCTAGTTCAAAGTACTTTGCCGGTTTTCGGATTCGGTGGCTACGGGCGCTTGACAGCTTTCGTAGTTACTGAGTCACAGTGCATCCTTTTTACTTAGTCTTCGTCTATTTAAATCCTATATAATCCAAAATTTCAAACTGATATGCTCAATTAGGAATTCCCACACTGAAAGATCTGTTTATTGTCCCTTGTTTCTGATTCTATGAGTAATTCTATGTTCCGGTACGATCATCACAGTTTGAATAAACTGGCATGATATAAAGTTTTGTCGTGGTGTGTTATGTGTGCCTGGTTCTACATCGTAGATGACTGACTGACTGCTATGTAGTTTTGTTTGTAGACAGTTATGGTTAAATTCAACTGACTGCATAAAGGTTAATTTTTATTTTAGCTCGTCCAGCTTCAGCGTCTCAGGCTGTCCTTCATCATCGCGGAAGTCATCTAGGTCCTTCAGGATTCGGGACAATGAGTTCTCACGTCAGTCCATCACAGCCAATTACCTCACATCTGGATCATAATTTGCACAATGCACATCATCAGACAAGGGCTTCACCATCACTATCACCCAGTCCTGGAAGCAATATTTATCAAGTTAGTGTTTTTTTTCGTAGGTATCACCAAGGCAATAATTGAAATATTCTTTACTGGTCCTTTATTAAGTGTAAGATGTAACAATTAAAAATAGAATGTATATATTTTTGTGAATATCTTTCAAAATTCCCTTCTAGTCAACAAGTAAAATTAACCTAAATTGTAGAATTAGCGAAACATTTACGTCGCCGGATATAATGATTTCGACGCTAAAATTGTTGCTTCACAGTAGTCCAGATACTAATAAATTTGTCTATAATCTTATTAGGAGTTATCTGATATATTCTGACATATAGCCTTTATCATATGATTGTCAAGTGTTGTTTGCTCGATATCCAAAATTGTAACGAGATTTACTTTAACAACAAAAGTCAGTTAAAAGGGGCATCAACTGTTTTTCTCTCTCTTTCTGCTACACTCAAAACCTATCTTAATCAGACATACTTATTATTTTCAGTGTGTTCAGTCAATCATAAGCAGTTTACGAATCGGCATAAATGTGCATAGCCCTCACTGCACTACGTCAGTTGCACACAAGAAGGAAAAATTTGTAGTAGTCATTATGGTAGTAGTCTCGTTTATAACAAGAAGCATCACATAGAAAGAGTAACATTGAGGGAGTAAAAGGCATGAAGAATAAAGGATGTGTACATCTGAACCATTGCGATATTTTGAACCTTATCACCCCACATCCAATCATTTTTGATTACATCTTAGTTAAGTTGGTACAAAACTTCAAGTTGTGGCGTTAGTAACTTGTCGAAAAGACATATTCATTCCCTTTTCAGTGGATCGGGTGTTCAGCTACATTTTGTACTGTTATTTACATACAACAACCTCCATATCTTTCCAATTGCTGATTTATACATTAGGCCTGTGTAAATGCTATGTGTGGTATATACAGGATTTTTTTCTGCTACTTGAACAGCTGACACGTAGTTCTATGTCTGATTGTCGTCTTACCTTGTATTTCAATGACTTTCTAACTACTAATTGTTAGGCTACTCAATTTTCGTCTTTTTATACGCTTCAAACATTTTCAGAATCGTCGTTCACAACTGGCCCCCCCTTCAACTCATCCAAACAAAAGACCTCGTATTTCCTTAGGATCCCAACTACCACACTCCATTTCATCCTTACCTTCTGCTCATGTAACAAATACAATTGCACCAGCTGAGATGGAAGCTTTGTTGGGGAGTGTTGTTGCCAGTAAGGCTATGGCAAGTATTGCAGCTGGTTCTAACTTTCTTAATCCAAACGCCTATTCTGCAGCCACAGAAGTTGCCGCTGCAGCCGCAGCAGCCCTCACACCTTTTTATACATCCATTAATAATAATAGCTTATCGAACCCATCATCTGTCGTCACTCCAAATCAAGCTCCTTATCAACCGCATATTCAACATCATGGTTCATTCGGTAGTAATCCAACTTCTGGCACTCATTTATTCAACCAACAACATGTTTTGCCATCTCCCAGTTCGGCGTATCCAGGTTCACTGATGGGTACCTTACCTGGTTCACTTCTAACCTCGTACAATAACAGACCATTTCCTCATGCAACTGCGTCTACCCAGGCGATAACTTCCGGGCAAGACCTAGTTAGTGCACCTGTCTTGGGATCACAAACTGTAACTAGTCAGCCTCCATTGTCACATATGCCAGCGAAAGCATCACATCCAACATCAGTCTCCCAAATCCCTTCTCGCCTGATTTCTGGCCATCTTCATCATCCACCTGCTGCTACGCATCCTAGTCAAGGCAGTTTTCACCAGTCAAATCATCCTTTACCACAACCAGGTTCTCAACATCATGTGATGGGGCATTCTAATCTCCCTCAGGGGAGTGGCGTACTTCGACAGCAGACTAAAGAACCGGCTTATCACCCACAGGTACGTGTTTGTTTCCTGATATTTTAAAATTAGATTTCGCCAGTTGTTTTGTACGACTGCTACTTCAGTGAATTTTTATTTAACCCAAATTCGTAATATTGTTTCAAAGCTTTTTATGTCGGGAATATTGACGTTTCTTAGGTTCATGTGAAGATTTTTTATTCCTATGTACTTGAACTCAGTCAGTCGGTAAAAACGTAGAACTTCGTACGTACGTACATCAGTTCGAGTTGCCATACCACATTAGCACACAGATACAACTGTCAATTCAAATCCCGTAGTGGTAGAGGTAGTAAAAGTATAAACAGTAATCGGAAAGATTAGGGTTGGAAGATGTTATTCAAAGAATATAATCCAGTGAAATAAATTTGGAAAGAGAAAAAAAGGGACATGAAGAATTCACAAGATTAGAATTTGGGAGATTACAAAGAGTGGATGCACCTGCGCCATTGCAAACGATTTTGAGCCATGTCATTCAGGGTCTCTAACCATCGGTTGCTATTATTTATTTATTTTAACACATAGATATTGGTGCAAGGAGGCACCAAATACATATGCGCCACACAAATCTCATTTGATATGTGTGAGGGCTGTGATACTGCCCGGGTGCCCAGACCGAAGCAGGTGGTTTTCTTAGGGGGCCACACCCGGAGCTATCAACCTGAAGGTCTAACTCACAAGGCAGTGGAGCATCGTGAGGAGATGCAGTCCCATGATAGCCGGTGACCAACGATTAGTTCGTACGCCATTTGTTCCCTCAGGATACTGGAGCCCATGTGCACCATTGGTTTGGAATCCGGTCAAAGCGCCGGACATTCGCTTTTCGTCCTCTCAATTTCGTAAACAACAACCCCGCCACAGGAAGGCAATGAGTAGGACTTCCCTAGCAGAGGCTATATACGCGTGGCCATGTGAGAGCATTTCGAGAGGGAGAGCGGAATCCCTCCACTCTCGGCTGTACCAGGGCATTTGGGGGCTGGTTGCTATCATTTCGCGGTCCCCAACCAGGTAGTCTACACCTACCAACATGGCTCAGTCCACTTGTCAGTGACTTCATGGATTTGTGCCACGTTTTGGTCTGGCTGCCCCTAGCTATCTTCCAACCTACTCCTGCACCATAAAACACCGCACGTCGAGGCAGGCGGTGGTTGGGCATACGTAACACGTGTCCCAGCCATCTCAACTGATGAAGTCTCGCTACTTCATCAACTGATTTGCCATCCTTACCTAGTACGCGTTTCCTAACAATTGCGTTACTTACTCGATGGTCCCAGGATATACCAGCAATATTTCGAAGACACCTATGATCAAATGCTAGTAACCTACGAATATCCTCTACTCTTACCGGCCATGTTCAACTGCCATAAAGTAGGACGGAACGAACTGCTGCGCAGTAAACCCGTCCTTTGGTTGATAGACGGATATCTCGCCTACTCCGTAAATGACGCAAGTTTGCAAAAGCTAGTCGAACCTTCCGTGCTGAGATTTCGTCACAGACCAGACCACAAGGGCTGATGAGACTTCCCAGATAAGTGAAGCGGTCGACACGCTCAACTACTTCACTCTCTATCACTAGTTCGGGTGTCGATGTAACCCAATCCTGAAGCAACATTTTGCATTTCGAGGGAGAGAATCGCATCCCGAACATACCTGCATTGTTGCTTAGAGTGGTCAGAAGACTGCATTTTGTCAGCGTCTTCACCAAATAAAACTATGTCATCTGCATATTCTAAGTCAACAAGTGAACCTCCCGGTAGAAGTTCAACCCCTAGAAATTTAAATGAGGAAAGTGTTATCTCTAAAAGTACGTCAATGACAAAGTTGAACAAGAATGGAGAGAGTGGATAGCCCTGACGAACACCACTTGGGGTAATCAATTCTGATGACAGTTCGCCATAAGCTCTCACTCTACCAGTTGTGTTCGAGTAGAGAGCCTTTATAAGGTTAATGTACTTCTTTGGTACTCCTTTCAGTGACAAACATTGCCATAGAACCTCACGATCAACAGAGTCAAATGCCGCCTTCATTTTGAGAAATACTACTATTGTGGAGCGTCTGAATGTGTTTCTATGTTCTAGAACCTGACGTAGTGTGAATATCTGGTCTATACAACCACGTCCAGGTCGAAAACCAGCCTGGTTTTCTCTAGTCTGCTCTTCACGAGCTTTAGCTAGGCGTCGAAGTACTGTTGAAGCTAATATTTTAGACAATATATTATTCAAACTGATTCCTCTGTGATTGTCACAAGAGGACTTTTGTCCTTTCTTATAGACTGGCACAATCAGTGATTGAGATCAGTCAGATGGGATTACGTCCAGTTCCCAAATTCTACCTAAGACCTCAGTTAATCTCACTGCTAATACTGGACCACCATCCTTAAAAATCTCAGGATTAAACCTGTCAAGGCCTGCTGCTATCCTTCGCTTCAGATTTCCTATAGCTTATCTGAGCATAGCTGCAACAGACAGTCGCCATTATCTGTTCTTTGAGCCATGAAACTATAAGATCCACTCAAGTGTCTTTCCCTTTCGCTTAGTTTACCTACTTGAGCATTAAAGTCACCAGGCACTATCACTACATCAGAGCGCCTAACATTTTGGAGAAGGTCGGAAAGCTTTCTGTAAAACTCATCTTTTACATCATCTAAGCTGCAGTCGGTGGGAGAATAGACAGAGGCGACGAAGAGGCAACGACGAGTGTCCATATCTGAGTCCTTACTGTTCCGTTTAGTTGAACAGCGCACCAGTGACTATCTACTGGGATCCAGTCTAAGAGAGCTAGTTCTGCCCTAGGACTCATTGCTATACCTACGCCAGCAAGGTCAAGGGTGTTAGGGATGCAGAGGAATATACCAATCATTATCATGTTAAGTCTGATGATGTCCTTGGACTTTAAATGGACATTCCCTATTGGCCGTTATTTACTTCACTCGTTAAATATTGTACAGATGTTGTTTTCTATTTTTATGGTACGATGTGGTCTGTTTGGTTGGTATGTAAACAGAGTATGTTTGAAATATAACGATTCATATCTCAGGCGCTGTGACTTGTGTTCTGAACTCAACTGGCTGGGCTAGACAGGTAAGCGGGACTAATCAGAACCCTAGGTCGTTCGTACGTGTTTTCCGTTTCACCGAATCGGTCAATAAAACGCTGCGCATCTAACCGTGCAATCCACCCGTTACAACAAAGGGAAGCAGCATCAGGGCTTCCAGATACACGAAGCATGAATCGAGTTGGTTCTTTATTTTGACATGGTGATGCCAAATGAATGACGCTACTCGGATCCTGTATGCTCGTTTCGAAGACGCAGCACACATCGATGGCGCGAGACTCTAAAGTCCTAGCTAAGGAAGCTTGTTGTCCTATTTGGCACAGTGTTCGGACGTTAAAAGCTCCAACATGTAGTTTGGAGCGTGGTTTCAGGAGACCAGGAATAGCGTTCCGCGTACTCGAATCGTTTGCCCTAGCGGTACGAGGTGAATAAGGGACGTGAGAAGGGTTATTCGTGGAGATAAGAGAGTTATTAATAGATGTAAGAAGGATTTGAATGTGACCAACTTGGTCTCGTGTGCTGTTTCGGGTATGTGGGCTGATATTGCTTCCCGGCTGCCCACACCGTGGAAGGGTATTTCTTGAGGAACCTGAAAAGGAAGTTGTATTAATGTTGGCCTTAACGATCTGGGAGCGTGACCGCAAGGCCCAAGGGACAACTGCTTGAGGCCGGTCGCGCACGGTCCTCTTGTGGGAGGTTTTTAATGTGTTAGCTCCGTTCTTCAAAGGACCTTACTGCCGGAGACGGAAATCCGTGAGGTAATGTGAGGTGTGACATTTTTAGGGTCAACCTTTTGTAACCCCTTCCTTGTGAAAAGGCAGCATCGCTGCAGTTGCTGGTTGTCCGAGGGAAACACCTTATTTTTGTCACACCCCTCTACAGTCAGCAGTACTACTTCGCCTTCAGACCTTAAGTTGCTGCTTTTAGTCTTACCGTTCTCCAGTCGACCTGCCTGGCATAGTGGAACCTACAGGAACATATGTTCCAGCCAATATAGCTCGGTTGGGTCATCACGATAGGCAATCCGGACCACCGCGTCAAGGTAGCAACTACGGTCGGGTACTTGACCTCACACGTAGCTAACCTTACGCATACACTATAACTTGATAA